GTAGAATTAGCTCATCTGGTCATGTTTCCTGTCTGGTCTACCTAGTAAGGCTGACAGGTATTGTTTACTTTGCCCCTTAACAAAATCATTATGAAGAATAATGTTAAAGTATAAATAAATCTTTATCTGAAATCAGAACAAAAAAAATTGTAGCAAGTAGATTCTTACTTGTATGCAAGCTTATAGTGTGACAATATAAACTTAAATATAATATAATAATATGAACTTAAGTTTTTTTTTTTTTCCTGCCTACCAATGAATGTAAACTTTCTGGGCAGAAAGGCAGGATACAAATTGAAATAATAAGATGCCATTTCAAATCATTTTTTTCCAGTGTAGGAAAAATAAGCTGGTTCATTTACATTTATAATCTATTTACCATATTTTGGTGGGTATTTTGAAAAAGATTTTTAACCACTAGAAATGCATTACAATACACAGATGGAACATAAGAGAAACTCTGTAACAAGCTATGCCTGTAAAAGGAGTGTTACATCTTGCATACTCTACCTTACCCTGTATAAACAGATTTTGATGTCTGTTTTTATAGATTTTGAGGTGAGGAAGACTTTGTTAAAAGAATCCTTTATTTTCTAGCAGTCACAATTTCATTCTTGCTTTACCTGTAATATGAAAGCAGATGGTCTGCATCTCCTTTGAATATTTATAACTATCAAAAACAATCTCTTGCTATTCACCCTTAGGCTTATGAGATGTCAGGACTGTTCTAGTTGGGAAAAATCATCTTGGATGTTTACTAAAAGAGGATTATATTAAGCTGAAATGACTATACATTTTCTAGTTTAATATTTGTTCATCAGCTGTTTAATCATATTTAGATAATTGTGTAAATAAGTTGTTGTAACCCTTGCCCCCTCTACTGATCTCGCCCAAATGCATTCAACATGCGAAGACAGTTGTATGTGAACTGCTATTTTTTTCCCTTTCTTCTTTAAAACAAATCAAAAAGACCTGTTAAAGTTTTGTAGGTTGAATTACCTTGAACATATGAGGGATATAGCTCATGAGTTTGTTTCAGAGAACATCTGTTTTTGGAATTGCTTTTTAGATTAGTTGGCACATTTTTGTAAACAGTGCAATGCCTATTTTATTCCATGAAGTTATTTGTAATCTTTATTAGAGATGTGTAAGACTAATGCTTAAGATATTGTTAAAGAGGATAGAGGATATTTGGATACAGTGGAGGATAAATGGATTTTTGACCTGAAGCTGAGCAATCACAGATAATAGATTTTGTAGTGGCTGGTTGATTTGGCAGCAAAGCATGAACAGTTTTAGTTTAGATAATTGAACTGACCTGATTAATGTTGTTGTTTGTTGTTTCTCAGAAAGGCAACAATACACTGTTAATCATAGCCATTTATGATCAGAGAATCTATCTTCAGATATTATGAAGAAAATACAACCTAAAAGGTTGCATCGACTACTGAAGAATGAATCAAATATAAAAAAGTTATCTAAGCAAAATAAATAAATACAGGTGGATTGCTGAGAATATATTTTCTTTAAGTAAGAAAATGTATGCAAAATTATTTTGATACCACTATTCTCATTATAGGCACAGATAGAACTCTGAATATTGAATGAATTTTAAAGCTGTCTAGATGAACCAAAAATGAACTTTAGGAAAAAAAAAATCAATCCCTATTGCCACACAGTTATGGAAGAGATAATTATAAATAATGCATTTGGCTGGAAAAGAAAGCTCAGGCTGTGGCAGATGGTATCATCCCAGTGTAGTAGGGCTTTTGCAAAGGTGGCACCATTTCAGATCAAATCTTCATCAGGCAATAAAAAAACTACAAGTACTGGGTGTGTATACATTTGAATACTTTTAGATCTTGAGGCATTATATGAACTCAAGTGAACTTACAGTAAACATGCAGACAGGGTTCTGTAGGTTGTTTAAATTAATTATCTTTTCTGAGTTCTGTTTCAAGAAAGGGCAAAAGCTGTCATCAAATCACAGATGAATCTACTTCTGACATTGTAGCCTATTATAATTCCTTTCTTAGGCTTGTAGCATAGATTTTTACAAACTGTAATATCTACAGCAAAATACAAAACTGGAAACCTCTAAGCTTTTGTAAAATTCTTACCTTTAAATGGATCTATATTTTGAAGCTGAAGGGAATAGAGCAAAGATTTTTGTTTCTAAAATCAAGCTATAAAAACCTTTAAAGATATAGCAGAGGTATAATCACTAATCAGTAGTAATTTTAGAAGATTATGTATGTATATATGAAACAGAATGAGCACAATAATTCCTTGTAAAGATCTGCTAACAGTAATCTTTTAAACTCTTATTTGTAATAAGATCATAGATAGCACATGACTGACGGCAATGTGACACTTAATAGTTTTGAAAGTATCGAAGGAGCTCATTCCCTTGATACTAATCTAGGTTCTTCAAGTTTGAACTTCTAAAATAACTTTTGCCTCATATCACCATTTCACCATGTATGATTCTCATACTTTGTTGGCACACTATGTCTCATTTTAATGGATTCATAAGGACAGATGGCAATACAAACAATATAGATCTTGGCTCATACCCCACTGATTCATTGCAATGATTATGATTAGATTGCCTTTTCACCTAAAACTGAAGAGACAGAAGAACAGGTTCATGCATCCTACTACTGCTGTTCCTATTATTAAAGTGTGTGTTCTGGAGGACTTGTAGTAAGAAACAACTACTCAATCCAGTGGTGAGATTTCAGGTCAAATGTGAGATAGAAACTGCAGCTGAATTGCTTCCCTTTCTCTTAGCAGTGGATAGTTGGTTAATTCAGATTAATGTTAATGTTTTAAATGTATATTTTTCTTGCCTGTATTAAGGAATATATGTATGTATGTATATATGTATGTATGTATAAATTAAGAATAAATTAGTGAGAAAAGAGGAGCATATGGGGTAGCTTTTCTTCCTGGAAATAGATTTTTAGAAATACTTCTAGAGACGATCTAGTTATGCATTATCAAATAATGAAACAGATACCATGAAATGCATTTTTGAAGATGACTTCAATAGAATTAAGGCAAGTTGGCCATTCATTATGACTTTTAGAGCATGTAATTTATCCTTTCTGAGGAAAAATATATGAACAACACTGTATGGTAATCTTCCATTTTGGTACATTTTGTTAGCCCTCTTAATTTCATAGATTACAGCTTTCAGATATAAATTTCAGATACATCAAAACATAAACTTTACATAATTTGTAATATTTTTACGTTAATATTTTTGTTTTTCTTCTGTATATATTTGTGTAGAATAGAATGTGATGTTAAAACAATATATACATGTAATATAATGGCTGCTAAGTATACTACAAGATTTGCAATATAAATTGTTTAAATCTTAACAAAATAAAACGTAATGTTGTGTTACAACCAGAAATGTTACTGGTCAAATAATTAAAATATCTTCCATTAAACATTACAGTAATATAGATGCTCTTTCCCTTCCTTTTTTAGAGTATGATATCTTCCATTGTGAACAGCACTTACTATGCAAATGTCTCAGCAGCAAAATGTCAGGAATTTGGGAGGTGGTATAAACATTTCAAGAAGGCAAAAGATATGATGGGTAAGCAAAAGGATAAGAGTTCAAGTATCATTGTCTACATGCTTATGATTGAATACAGTTTAAGCTTTGTTTGGATACTAGAAATGGGTTGATTTTTACAGATCTGGTGAATTGTATGATATTTGATACAGCAAATATTCCATTACATTTTGCAAAACATAACGAGAGAAAAGGAAAGAAAGTATATTAATGTAAAGGCATTACAAATGTTCAGTTTTCAAAATCAGCCCTAATTGTTATCAGCTCACTGATATCTACTGCCATTCCCATAGTTGGGAAAGATTTTTAACTTATTTTTAGTATTGAATGTAGCCCATGGCTTTTACATGCCCTTTGTTAGCAATAACACTGTGTAATATTTGTGATAGTTATTGAAAATATTTCCAGAAGTATTTCATATATAACAAGTAAATCAGTATTACATTGCTTCCCAGTTTGTTACACGTCCACCTCAGACAGCAAAGAAAATAGCATTGTCAATAAGGCAGTAATGTAGGATTTTCTGTTGATCTTTGATACAACATAAAATGTACCATGTCGTTACATTTCTAGTAAAGTTAAATAATCCAGTTGCAACTGTCTGTACATAGGAATGGATATAAGCTTAATTATACTCAGATAAAACATTGATTTACTTAACTCTCATTTATTTCAATGAGTTTACTGTAAATATAACCAAGTTTGCATCCACCCCATCTTCATATCCAAACTTAACAAGGCCTGTTTTTGGAAATTTTATACACACACACAAATACGTACGTACATACGCACAGACATATTGTAAATAAAAGGAATTGTACTCAGTGATATAACCTATAGAAGGCATCATACTAGCCTATATTTGATATTTACGATAGAAATGTTGAACACAAGTGTCAGTTGCACACAGCATTTTGGTATTATGAGATACTCTGTGAGATTAAACCACTAATGCAAATAGTCCACAATATTTTAATACACGAAAAGACAGAAAAACTGACATGACTTACTAATGCTAATCTCTTTAGGCAAGATCTGGGTAGTAATCAGCTTAGCAAAATGGATAACTTTCATTACATTACTTTAACTTTTGGAAATATTGGCAGCGTTTTCACCACAGAGGTTCAACAGGTATAGAAAGTAACAAACTAGAGAACAGAAAAGCTAGTGGCCTACAAATGAAAATGGGACAGGCTGCAGGTGAAGTCATGCATGTTCACATTTGATGACCGAGATATAAAGTGATGGTTTGCCTGTATGAAAATATAAATAGTGTTTTTGTGTCTGTGTGTTGTGGCTGAAAATCAATCTGTGTAAGATAGACAGACAGCCAGACATACGGTACTCCTTTAAGCCACAAAATATATGTATGTATGTATGTATGTATGTATGTGAGTATGTATGTATGTATGTATGTATATGTATATGTATATGTGTATGTGTATATATATATACATACATACATACATACATATATTTGGTGGAGACCATTTTGAGCGATAAGCCAAATGATGCAACATTAGAAATCTTTTTAGGATTTTAAGTGGCTGCATTATTTCTTCTGCCTTTCTTCCCAGATCTGGGGCTATGAACAAATGCCTGCAAAATCTAATGCAGTAAATGGCCAATTTTGAAGCATTAAGCACCCACTATTAACACTGTATTGCAGTTCAACCTCTCACAAAAGCAAAAGTGGCTGCCAGTACTGGATGTTGAAGATAGATAACAGCTTAATCCTCACAGGCATTTCTTCACACAATCCCAATCTGATACTACATCATGCTTTCTGTAACTATGAAGCTATTGCATGGGTAAAAATGATGTATATTTTTTTAAAAAACTGATATTTTAAATTATATATATGAAGGTATGAAGACCTGTGAAGTTGATTCATAATTTCATATTCAGAAATGGCTTGATGTGTAGGCTTAAATATTTTAGGAATGCTGTATTCCTAAATACATTTTCAGTTTTCTGCTAGTTCTCTTAGGGGGAAAAACACGATATGTGCAGTGCCTGGAGACAGGTGGAGCAGATCTTTTCTTCATTTTTCCAGAGATTTTCAGTCATTCAGTGAAAAGCATTTACTTGTTCTAGGCTGAGAAGTCAAAAAACCCCCAAAAGGCAGGGCAAACAGCTTCTGTATTGTTGTTAAGAAAAATACTTGAACATTTCCTTATAATCATCAGGAGGAACTCCATCTCAGTGAAATGTTTGCTCTTCATATTTATTTGATCAGAATTTACACGGGGCAAGCGCTGTTGCATTAATGAACGATAATTTCTTCAACTTTGGTATACATACGCGATATTCATGCCCAAAATACACTTTGTATCTGGAATAGAAATGAGAAAGGAAGGAAGGACTTCCACTCTAACCATCATGGCCAGTGGAGAGGCAAAACTGGAATAGTATCCAACAACATTTCAAGGGCCGTGTATAACAGCAGTGCACTAAACTTTTGTTTTGGCTGACTAGCTTTTGAATGCTTTGCCAAAAAGAAAAAAGAAAAAAAGTGCATGGCTACCTAAAAAGATTTTAAAACTGGTTGGAAGACAACATTACATTGCATTACATTACATATGAACATTACTACTTTTAATTTAACTATTTAACTCTTTATTATGTAATTATTTAGTATATGCACAATTACAATGATTCTCATCCCTGTAAATAATAACTGATTCCTATGTTTGAAATAAGTATGTGAGCAAAAAGTTAAATTGTTATATACATAGTCCCGTACGTACACATCCCAAATCTTATATAAAGAGAAAGCAGCAGCATGATATAGAAAGACATAGGAACTTGTTGCTTGTTGGCAATATAAGAAAGAGACAGCTCCAAAGCAGACCATAGGTTGTGCATCTACATCCTAGATGTATACTATCTTTGTGAAAAGTGTATACATGCCATTCATTTCATATGAATTGATACTTGCCTTCTACCAATGAATCCTGATTTGGAGGTAAAAAAATAATTACCTTATTTTTGCTGTCCAGCTGACTTGATTGCCTTCCTTTGCATTCATACCTATATTAATTAAGTTCCACTACACAAATTAATTTTAGAACTGCTAAGATTATGATTGTTCTATGAATTTCATAAATATGCTCAGTTTTAGAGTTCTATAAGGTTGCCAAATTATAATTTAGACATCTTAAGTTACAAAATCAGGCTTAATAAGAAGTTAAATATAGTATATATTTCTGATTTTCTTAGCATTCCTATTTTAAGGAAACCAAATTATGCTATGCCACAAGCAGATGGATTTTTTTAGATAGCTGTTTTTGCAACTTATCCTCAGAACTTTATGTTGTAAAAAGTTCACTTTCATATTAGTTCTGCTACATGGAAAATCTGTGTTCTGCCTTTTCCCTTTGCATTTTTGTGGCTTTATTTAATGTATTCAGCCTAAAATACAAATGCAAGCCTGAATTTAAGAGATTTTGCAAAGGAAAAAAAATAGAAAAAACTACAAACATACAGAAATATGGTGCAGTGTCCGGCTTCCCTACTTTCTCCACCTACAGACACCATGCAGTATATTCCCCCCATCCTTCAAGAGGAAGCAGCAAAGAAAAAGACTGAAGATGGGTAAGAGAAAGGGAGGGAAAAGACAGATAAAGGAGAGAATCAAAACTCTATTGGATATGAGGTGAGGGGAAGAAGGTAACTGGAAAGGAAAAGAAAGGGGGGGGGGAAAAAGAGACAAGCCTTTTCAGCTGCTAGAAAAAGAATTAAAAGCACCAGGATAGGCAAAAGGAGTAAACTGTTTCACTTGAAGTTATTGTATTCAAAGGCAGCTATCCATCTGTAAGCAGCTTTTGCAGCTTGGTTGCTTCAGAGGATTAGATCATCAAGGGCAATATGGAAGGGTCAGGGTTCATCCCTGCTGTTTGCCTGATTAACTTTAACACTTTTACTAATACTTGGAACACAGCTAGACAGTTTGCCCTCTGCATTTAGAAGGCAGATGTCTGTAAAGTTGCAAGAGTACACCACTTGCACCCTTTCCTGACCAGGAGTCCCTTCTCATTAGTCATCTCATGCGTGGACTACTGCAGCACACTCTACATGAGGCTGCCATCCAGAAGAGAACAGCATACACATTTGGGTGCACCTTGGTTCACCCACGTAATGCCTTTGCTACACTAGTTTCCAGTGAACTTCCAGGTGAAATTCAAGGTGCTGGTTATCATCTCTAAAACCTTTTGTGGCATAGGGCTTAGCTATCGGAGGTATTACTTCTCTCACATTATTTCTGTCTGCCCCATAAGTTCTGATAGAGTAGGTGCGTTTCATGTCCTATCTGTTAAGCAGTATCTTCAAATGGGTCCTAGGAAGTGTGCCTTCTCTATTGATTCTGTTCCTGACATCTGGAATAGTATCCCCCTGGCCTACAAGCCTTTAGACCATCCTTAAAAACTTGCCTTTTCCTCCAAGCTCTGAGATAGATTGTGTCCATTTGATGTGCATTGTTTGATTTGGCTGTGATAAGTGTTCTCCCCACTACATAATGCTCCTTTTGTTATTTTGTTGTTTTTAGGTATTGAATTGGTTTTAATTGTACACTACTAGAGTTGGTCTTGATTTGTGGCGGTCTTATAAATCAGAATTATAATAATAAATATAAATAACCCATAGGAATCACTTCTCCATTCTTTTCGACAGCATTTACCTCTTTAAATAGTGTTTCTATCTGCAAATATAAGACAACCTCCTACGTAAAAGTGCTTTGGGGGGGTTGCCTTCCTTCAGGTAAATATAGTATTGACTTGTTGTAATAACTATATTAAGTGCATTTTTCAAGATCCTGATAAAAATGGAAAAAGTCCGTATGTTCTTTTAGTCAAACATTTTTAATATGTTAGCTGAAATGCATTTAAAAAGTGATAATAATGTGTATCTTTGTTTCAGTGTGTATACTCCAGTTTGTGAAAAAACTGGACATACTGTATAAATACATGAGCGAATTACAACAACCATTTCTCTTATGGTTACATAAGAGAAATTCTGAACAAAACATGTATAAAAATATTCTGATGTATTGGAGGCTATTGAGAAAATACTATTAAGCTTGTGAAAAATCATTTGAAAAAGCACTTTGCTTGTGTCTGAATCTGCTCCTCAGAGGTGTAACACATCTCTTTGAGGCTCAACGTTCGTAGGCAGATGTGTGTTTAGAAGGTAGATAATTGAAGAAGGAAAGATTTGCATACCCCACTATGTTATTTGATTAATATCTCTTGAATGAAGCTCAGAATAAGATAGCGATGATCTGAACTAAGCTATTCTTTTTTATATATTCATTCATTTCCTTAGACAAAATAATTTATACTCTATTTTTTTCCCTCTTAGCTGAAATGGACAGCCTTTCTGAACTATCACAACAAGGTGCCAACCATGTCAACTTTGGTCACCAACCAGTCCCAGGGAACACCGCTGAACAGCCACCATCCCCCGTTCAGCTTTCTCATAGTAGTCAACCATCTGTTCGGACCCCACTTCCAAACCTGCACCCTGGACTTACTCCCATTAGTCCTCAGTTGGTAAACCAACAATTGGTAATGGCCCAGTTGCTAAACCAGCAGTATGCAGTGAACAGACTTCTAGCCCAACAGTCCTTAAACCAACAGTACTTGAACCATCCTCCTCCTGTCAGCAGATCCATCAACAAGCCGTTGGAACAGCAGGTCTCAACTAATACAGAAGTGTCTTCCGAAATCTACCAGTGGGTGCGTGATGAATTGAAACGAGCAGGAATCTCGCAGGCAGTTTTTGCACGTGTGGCATTTAACAGAACTCAGGTTAGACTTTTTTTTAAAAAGCAGGAGTGATTTTATACAAAACTGGTAGTTTTTTTATTTTAAATTTTTGATTACAAAAAAAAAACATAAAAGTGGTTTAACAAAAAAGTGAAAAAAATACAACAAACTGGTAGTTAACCTAACTATATTTAGGCCATGATCCCAAACATCCTTATGTGTTCTAAGGAATTTTAATTTTTTTTTCTCTCTCTCTTTCTCTTTCTTAATGGCAATTATTTGGAGAAACAAGAAACTTTTTAGTAAGGTTTTTAAGAACCTATTTGATATAGTTTCCCTTTATACCCATATTGTTGGACCTTGCACAATCCTACTTTTAATAGTTTAAGTATGGATTCATTTATCCAAAACAATCATAAAGATCCAGTAATAAAGGACTTCTTTTCTATCCACATTATTGGTTTCATTCACCTCTCACTGAATTAATTACATTTTGCACATGCTATGGTTCTGGACACCTATTTTACAAGCTGAAATACTGAACTATTTCTTCTAATATTACTTATGCAGCAGGAACTGTTACTACCTTTGCTACCCAGCCAGCAGAACACAGTGAGTGATATAATTCTGGAAGAAAAAGGATGGGGCTGGGAGAAAATAGTTGTGGCTGTTTCTTCCGTTGCATCAATACAGTCAACAAGAGATTCTGCAGATTGCAAACATCAACCCTGAGCATTACATTTTAGACTATTCTTGTGCAATTATCTCAAGTAAATGAATTATTCAAAAATAAATAGGAAATGTCATTAGGTTACTTCATACCTTGCAGTAAGGTCCTATCCTTTCTGACACCTGCACAAACAAACAGAAGATACAACTGCTCTAGATAACAAAAGGAACTGACCTAAAATAGATATATATAGAAATTGATCTAAGCTATAAAGTTAGATCATTCAATTATTTTAGAAGTATTAGACTGTATGGCATCAAAGCAATACATATGACCAGGCATCAGTGACATAATATTGAAAACATCAAATCAGTGTTTCTCAACCTTGGCATCTTTAAGATGTGTGAACTTCAAATCCCAGAATTCCCCAGCCAGCCATTAGTGATACGTTTTGAAAAGGCATTCCAGTGACAGTGAATTTAACTTATTACTTAAATACGCTAATCCCAGTTATGTTTTTACAGTTGTATAAAATTGTCCATTATTTCTCTATGTTGCTGATCCACAGACTCTTTCAAACTGTTTTTTTCACAGAGCCCAAACTATATATGATCCTTTTGTTTCAATGTTTGTATCTTGATTTTATTTCCAAAAGGAGGTGCGGTGTTGTAAAAACAAACTAGAGCAAATTCAATAATATAAAAACAACCAATTTGAAAAATATTCAGCTAAAATATTGTTTCAATAATTATTAAAGAAATTTAATGTTTTTTTAAAAATAATAGGTGTATAAGCATAAGTCGTGCCTAAGGTGCTGGGCTAGAAACAGCAAGTTCAACTCCTACCTTATGTATGAAAGCCAGCTGGGTAACTCTGGGCCATTCATTCTCACTGAGCTCAACCCATCTCACAGGGTTCTTATTGTGGAGAAAATAGGTGGAAGCATTAGGTATGTACATCACCTTGAGTTGTCCAGAAATAAAGGCAGGATAAAAGTCTAATAAAGAAATAAGTAAATAAACTTACTTATGTAAATTTGGAGATATGGATGTCTTGTGATATATATCAGATCTTGTTCCATAAGTTAATTGTATAACAGTTCTTCATTATGAGTAGTCAGAAGTTCACATCTCTGAGTTTTCAGCAACAATAACATATGCCAGAGGTATGTTGAACACTTGTATAATAACTTCTTAATCTACTGCATTACTAGCCCTTCCAGGCTCCAAAGTCTCCAATGAACACTGCTATTTGAACGTCTTCCTTCCTTTCTGTTTTATCTTGCACAACTCAAAGAGATCTTTTCTTTATAAAATTAATGAAGCCTCCCTAGGACAAAAATCAAATCCATATTTCAGCATAACATTAAAAAGTTTGAATGAATTTTACTTTATGCAAACAGTTGCTTGATTTCCTAGTACAGACTCCATTAGCAAAGTCCAGAAACCTGAGCTTTGAAAATGAAAAATGTTAATTCTTCAATTATTTGGTAAAATTCTGAAACAATATAAACTGAAAATATTTGTGATTGTTTCTGGTTCTGTGACTTTTTACAGTGAAGTATCCAAACAATTTTCACAATATTTCATGTGCTGAACTTTTAGTAAATTGAACACATTGAAGTTATGAGATGTTTCAACATACAGAGTTTGTGATATGAACTAAAGTTTTTCTCAGATTGCTCTTGGGAGTTCAACACCTATTTCATGGATAAACTGTATGTGTTGCTGTCTTTTTAATCAATCAGTCATAAGCGTAAATAATAATCCAAACATCTCATTGAATGCTAGGGATTTATTTACAAGTATAGATAAGTTTACAGCCATAATTGTTGCAGCCCTTTTGCTAGCAAAAAAGGTCAATAACAAATGAAGATTGTGCAGTTTGGTTTTAACAATATAATTAAAGTTAACAGTCTTCAATTTTTATTAGTGAGATAGAATCAGGTTCTTTTGCTGACACCAATGATATCATAAGGTTACACTGACTTTTTTAGTTGCTATATAGGTAGTCCTCATTTAGCAACCACAAGTGGGACCTGCAACTCGGTTGTTAAGTGAAGCTAAGTCAGTTAAGTTAGCGAAGTTAACTGTGACTATGCTTATGATCTTACTTCAGATTTCCTTTGCTTTACAAACCTGAAAATGTTATAAATGCAAGGATTGGTCGTAAAGTTACTTTTTTTTATCACAGTTGTAACTGCAAGTGGTCACTAAATGAAGCAGCCTCTAAACGAGGACTGCCTGTTTTACTATTGCAGCTATTATAGATTTTAGATGTAATACCTAGGCAAGTATATTCCAGAAAAGATGCATAGTTCAGAGATGGAGAATGGAACTAGATCTAATAATTATGAAAATAAGTGACTTTAGCTACTGGTGTTTCTTAATGTCTGTCCCATTTGTTTAATAGTGACCTTTTCCTTGTTTTTAATTTCTTATTTTTATGTTTTGCATTAAAACTACATGACTTCTCTTTTATACTTATATTTGAAGAAAAGGCCATTATGGAAGAAGTGGTAAATTAATTTTAAAGCCATAGTAAAGGCTTATCCAGGTTACCCAGTTTGGTTTTCATTTCTTTCTTCCTTCTTTTTTTCATTTCATGTTTGGTACACTGTTTATTTTCCAGTAAAATGAAGGATGAAGATGGATTATTCAAAAATGATAACAGTAATGGACCATCTTGTAATGTTTTATTGAATTTGAGTTCTGCAAATTATGTGATAGAGGGAAATTTGCCTGCTTAAGTATAACAGAAATTGCCACTGTGTTCATATAATTCTTCTTCATAGTGTAATTTAAGAAAAACTCACTACCCATATCACTGTTTGAGTAAAAGGTAAAAAGGTGCTATTACACTATCATGACAGCTCTCCTCTTGCTAATAAGTGACAAAGATAAATGTGTCTGCTTATATGTTCCTTGGCAGGACTCCAGATTTGCGGGTGGAGTTTGAAAATAATGTTCCACCTGGATATGAGATTTCAATCCACTGCAGTGCAGATAGCATACAGTGATGTTAAGCATATTGGTATTTTGGGGGTGAGGGAAAGTTTCAACAGATCATCGTTTTCTTTGGAGAGCTTAGAAATTCCATGAACCTGATAAAAATCTATCTGAAGTAGTGATTATATTTAAAGATCAGACAAACTGGGAGCCAAAAAGCTATGTTTCAGTTCTGTCATTCTGAAGAATTTATAACTAGCTTTGGAAGCACTTGATATTTTTAAAATCATTTTTATATTTATGATGATTTGTAAAAAAAATTATTTACTTTTTGTGACATGGTTATGAGGAATCTAATTTTTACTGCAAGGAAATATAAGTAAATATAATTAAGTATTTCCTTGTTTCATACAAAGGCAAAGGTCTTTAGTACACATTAGTACAATTGCAATCATAAATATAAAACAAAAGGCATGTGAGTGTTCAGGAGTGACGTTCATATAGATCAGCAACAGAATAACAAAAGTAAGATCAGTTTTAGGCTCCAAATGCCTATCTAAATAAAATTGTATTGATATTGTATTATTCTGACTGAAGGTAGCTTAGAAAAGGGCTCCTTCTGCAAAAAGTAAATTTCGCAGTAGTGGGAGCCAGATATATAGCCTACAAACGTGTATCCAGAGTTATCAAGGGCATCATGTATTCATTCATTCATTCAATTTGTATAGTCACCCATCTCAAACAAATGACTCTGGGCAGCGAACAATCATAAAATCGATTAAACCAATTAAAAGCACAATACAAGAAGAAAAATTAAATACATATAGCAGCTGAGATATATTATAATCCATATAGGTGTAAGCATAACCAGGAAATGGGGCCCTTCACACACTTGGGACCCCCAGGCTATAAGGACCCCATGTTTTCTGACACGTCAGGTTTAAAAACCTAATGGTATGCCAGCAAGTAAACATAAATGAAGGTAGATCTGAACAAACATTCAGTAATTGCATACATTAAGATACAAACTAGATTTGGCTATCTGAACAGGATCACATTTTATGAAGATGGATTTCATGCTGTCTCTTGCATAGATATTTTAATACAAATGAACAAAATTAATATAAAAGGATTGGCTTCTGTACCACATGAGTAGTGTTTATAAATTTTGTAATATATAATGGAAACTAAAGGGCCTGACTTGGATTATGGAAAGTTTGGTTTGAAGGTCCTTGTAGTCATGAAACAGTCTAGGTAATTTGGGGACAATTACACATGGCTTCTATAAAATATCTAGCAGGATAAGGAAGAGGATAAAATGAGTTGTATAAAATTATATCTACCTACTAACAGTAGCATTCACTAGTAGAATGCAGTACTCCTTCCCTCATTCCCCAGACACTCACAAATCTGCTTCCATAGACTTGAAGCATATGTTTTGGAAGTAAGGACGAAGAAGAAATCTGTATTATGCAAGGAAAAGTCCACACACCTAAAATTTAGTGAAACTCAAAGTCATTTAAATAGCAGTACCCTTAATGCTATTTAAGCCTGGAGGTAATTTTGAGAAAATAGTATGCATAATAATTGCAATCCTATATCCACATCTGAAAGTTTGGGAAATGGTGGATTATGTTTATTAGTTAAAGTAGGCAAGGAAGTTAGAGTTGTGTGTTAAATTTTAGTGTCAGATTCTAAATGTAGCCATGACAGCAATGGGGATTTTTGTTTAGCTGAGGACCACAATATATTATTATATTATGGTTGGTTGCACAGTCAGCCAGATGTTTCGACTGGTTTTGGCATTTTTATATACCTATCAAGTCCTTCACAAGGACCTGGGATAGGCAGATGTTGTCGTTTGATGGTGTTAAAGGTATCATCGCAGGATATAAGCTGTTCCAAGTAAAGTTGCCTTTTGTAATTGACTGATGGTGATTTTTTCAACGCCGATGGTCTTCAAGTGGTACTCCAGATGTTTTGGGATTGCACCCAAGGCACCTATTACTATTGGTAATATCTTTGCTTTCTTTTGCCACAGTCGTTCTATTTCTACTTGCAGGTTGTTGTATTTTGTGATCTTCTCCAGTTCTTTCTCTTCCATTCCGTTGTCTCCAGGTATTGCAATTTCCACTATCCAGACTTTTTTGTTAAGTCTGGGGTGTATTGTGGCAGGTGTTTGTCTGTTTGAATTCTAAAGTCCCAGAGCACTTTAGCTTCTTCATTTT